TGTGTGTGTGTGTGTGTGTGTGTGTGTGTGTGTGTGTGTGTGTGTGTGTGTGTGTATCTGTATATGTATGTACATATGTACATGTCTCAGCAAGGTTATAATTATTATTATGATATACAAGTTATTTGTTGCAGTGTTTTTGTTTTCTCCATTTTTGCAGGTGTGCAGACAGATGTCAGGTGTGTTGTCTTGTGTTTTCTTGGTGTATATTTCACATATCTTCTCTGATCTCTCTTTCAATCTTCCCCATTAAATTTCTCCTTTTTCTTCTCTTTTTTTCTTCTTCTCTTTTATAAAAAAAATCACTGATGATGAAGAAACTAATATTCAGATCTGTTTTCTACTGAAGTGGCCAAAAAAATGAAAGTGCATTGTTCAAATATGTTCAGGAAATCTTTTATATTTTGAGCTAAAAAAAAACACTACAGTTCATTTCATACTAAAGATGATTCAGTTTAATTACCAGTCTTTTTTTGTCAAAAAAATTACATCTGAAATCATCCTGAGGGGAAAAACAAACAAACAAAAAAAAAATGATGGTTTGGATAGTGATTTGACCTGCATTCCCAATCAAACTGGTTTCTCCAATCATCCATTTTACCAACATCTCCACTACCAGCAGCAGCAGCAAGAAGAAAAGCAGGAACAGTGCCTTAATTAACCTTTAATGTCAGGTTTCTGTTACCAAATAGGACGCAATGCAGGCATTAAGTTATCAGTTGAAACACATCATATTTTTAAATAAACAATTTATCCTCTCAACCTGCTGCAGCTCCTTCCAGAATCAAAATCACTTCAGCTTTCCCCCAAATTTTAAATCCAGCAGCTCATTCTCTGTCTCCATGCTGTTCCCTAAAGCAGGCAGCTGCTAATGTGACATTTCTACATCTATCATCTTACCTCCGTCCTCCTCATCAAACGAGTTCATGCAGGGGAAATAGACAGCCAGGGCTTCAAATGACGCAGACAGGCTGATTTTGCTCTGGGAACACTGGATGCGCATCCCAGGAGCCGTAGCAGAGGTGTCATGCCCCTGCCTGCCCATGATGACCGGGAGCCGTTCTCCTCAATGCAGTTAATGAAATTTGCCAGGTGTCTTCTTTTTTCCAAGCTATTTGAAGCTTTTTGTGGGCCTTGCTGCAGAWGACGGTGCCGCGCTGCGGATGATCAGGGATGGATGAGGCAGTCTATTCCTGGATGCTCTGTGCGCTGCATCGTAGATGGATGCTGGAGAAAAATGCTGCTTTGGTATTCGGGTCTTGTGCTGTCTGGTTCTGACGCTCTTGCTGTGCCTCCTTCTTTAGTGGGGGGAGGGGACGGAGCAGTGTCTTGCTTTACCAATCAGAGAGCCGGGATGTTCAGATGCACCTCTGCTGGCTCTGCGGTTCAACAAGCTCTACCCAGAGATACAGAGCCCCCCCTCCCCACATTTCCCCTCAGTTTTTTTATCTCCACTTTTATTATTTTCTTCCTCTTGTTTTCCCATCTTTGTTCTTTCTGAGTGGATAATATTGTTATTTACTGTTTCCCTTTAAAGCACCTTTCCTCTCCGCACCTGTCCTAAAAGCTTGCGTAAATGAACAGCCATTAGGTGAGCTGACAGTCAGAGAGCTGGAGCCACATGGCAGTCACTCAGAGTTCACGTGGCAAAGCGTCGCTTTCTTCCTCCCTAATGACAGTATCACAGCTGGATTGTTTGCTTTGCTTTGTTTGATCTCTCATTACTGAGAAAAAATCAAACAAATCAAGACAGTAATTATGTTAARATGCCTGGTGTGAAAACAACCTGTCACCTCTCTGTGACAGGGTCATGGTTGATGACAAGAAATCCATTTTTCCTACTGCGTTTTCTTCACGATCCAGATTTCAAATGACTATGATTCGAGGTTTTTGTGGTTGTTGTTTGCTATGTGCTGTTTTGTCCTGATGCACGCTCATTAATCCAGGTAGAAAAATCCAACAAGGATGAGTCAGGTTCTCTGGACAGTTTCTTCTTTGTTAAAATGTTATCCAAAAMACTGAAGAAGTCTTTTGATTAAGGAAGAAACATTAAAAAAACTGAAGTCTTTTGGATAAAAGATGAAATATATCAACAAAGACAAAAGTCTTTTGGACAAAAGACAAACAGTGGTGGACAGTAACAAAGTACTTTTACTTTATTACTGTAATTAAGTACATTTTTTGAGTATCTTTACTTTACTTGAGTAGTTATTTATTTGGGAACTTTTTACTTTTACTCCACTACATTTCAAAGACAAATATTGTACTTTTTACTCCACTACATTTCTAGGAAGCTTGTCGTTACTTGTTACTTTTAGATCAGCATAGCTTTATAATCCGCTGAAAAAAAAGAAAGAAAAAAATCCGTTGTTCCGGTTTTTCTTTTCATGAAATGCAATTGGTCACAAGCTATGTTCGTCAAAAGGTAACTAATCACATGCGTAGCTTATAGTTCTGACTGTCACTGAGTGTGTATATGTCTGTGTGTATACACTGACAATATTTATGAATGTAGGCATGTATGTATGTATATCTTTATATATGTATGGGTATGTGTATATATTTATATATGCCTTCTATGTATTTATCCATTTATTTT